AAAGAATGAGATGGTTAGACAGTGTCATAGATGCAACAAACATGACATTAAGCAAACTCCGGAGCACGATGGAAGACAGGAGGGCCCGGCATGATGTGGTCCATGGGGTCATGAAGAGTCGGACTCGACTGTGCGACTGAACAACAACAAAGCTGTGCCAAGTAGAAGCCATCTGTGTCAGAACTGACTGGGTTTGGCGCCAGCCCAATATTATAGCTAATTCAAACAGCACCCCCCAGTGACCCATCCAATCATACCATCCATTCAGTCCGCCTAAAACTAACCCTGCTCCTCACCCCCACCTGTGAGCCTCCAATTATTTGTCTATGACAGAATAGCTAGCAGAGACAGGCTTCAAGGTAACTCAAATTCTTTCCATCCGGGAGGCTCTTAAGAAAACAGTTACAAAGCGGCTAAGCAAGCAGGTTCCCACACAGGCATTCATTCAATCACCCATTCCTTCCACACACACCCCATGGTCCAGATACAGAATAGTACAGGCAAGAAAGACAGAACAGATAACTTCCATGGCAAACAAGGCCCCCGAGTTCGACACATACCACTTCTGTCTAGTAATAACAGTACTGTTAAGCTTGTGGAGAAATGCTCTTATTCTTTTCATACCCTGGTTAATGTGAATCCGCATGAACTAGAACTTAGGTAGAACTTGGGTACTATTTAATTGATTCAGAAATGATCTGGAACTCGGGGCGACTTGGTGTAGTGGCCGTGTTTGCAGACGACACAAAAGTATTCAGGATGGTGAAAACCAAGGTTGACTGTGAAGCGCTCCAAGAGGACCTCCACAAACTGGGTGAGCGGGTGACAATGTGGCAAATGAAGCCCAGGGTTTGGTAAGTGTAAGGTGATGCACATTGGGACAAGAAATCCCAACTTCAAGTACAGGCTAACGGGGTGTGAACTTGCTGAGACTGTGAGGGGAAAAGATCTTGGGGTCCTAGTGGATAGCTCAATGAAAGTGTCAACTCAGTGTGCTGCAGTGGTGAAAAAGGTAAACTCTATGTTAGAGATTATTAAGTAAGGGATTGGGAATAAACCAAAAAATAAGAGACGCCAATGTTGGATCAGGCCAATGGCCCATCCAGTCCAACACTCTGTGTCACACAGTGGCCAGAAATACCAGGTGCCATCAGGAGGTCCAGCAGTGGGGCCAGGACACTAGAGAAGCCCTCCCACTGTTGCCCCCCCCCAAGCACCAAGATGACAGAGTATCACTTGCCCCAGAGTCCCTATCTATACCTTGTGGCTAATAGCCACTGATGGACCTCTGCTCCATATGCTTATCTAATTCCCTTTTGAAGCCATCCATGCTTGTAGCTGCCACCACTTCCTGTGGCAGTGAATTCCATGTGTTAATCACTCTTTGGGTGAAGAAGTACTTCCTTTTATCCGTTCTAACCCTACCGCGCAGCAATTTCATGGAGTGCCCACGAGTTCTTGTATTGTGAGAAAGGGAGAAAAGTACCTCTTTCTCTACCTGCTCTATCCCATGCATAATCTTGTAAACCTCAATCATGTCTCCCCTCAGTCGTCGTTTCTCCAAGCTAAAGAGCCCTAAGCGCTTTAACCTTTCCTCATAGGGAAAGTGTTCCAACCCTTTTATCATTCGAGTTGCCCTTTTCTGCACTTTTTCCAAAGCTATAATATCCTTTTTAAGGTGTGGTGACCAGAACTGCACACAGTATTCCAAATGAGGTCGCACCACTGATTTATATAGGGGCATTATGATATTGGCTGATCTGTTTTCAATACCCTTCCTAATAATCCCCAGCATAGCATTGGCCTTCTTTATTGCAGTCACACACTGTCTCGACATTTTCAGTGAGTTATCCACTACAACTCCAAGATCTCTCTCTTGATCAGTCTCTGCCAGTTCAGACCCCATCAATGTGTATTTATATTTAGGATTTTTGGCTCCAATGTGCATCACCTTGCACTTGGCCACATTGAACCCCATTTGCCATGTTGACGCCCACTCGCCCATCCTTGACAGATCCCCTTGGAGTGCCTCACAATCCTCACTGGTTTTCACCACCCTGAACAACTTTGTATCATCCGCAAATTTAGCCACTTCACTGCTTACTCCCATCTCCAAATCATTAATGAACAAGTTAAAAAGCAGTGGACCAAGTACTGATCCCTGCGGTACCCCACTGCTTACCACCCTCCACTGAGAAAATTGCCCACCTACACTCACTCTCTGTTTTCTATGAACTAGCCAGTTTTTGATCCATAAAAGGACTTGTCCTTCTATCCCATGATTTTTGAGCTTACTTAGGAGCCTTTGATGAGGAACTTTATCAAAAGCTTTCTGGAAGTCAAGGTAAATAATATCTATTGGATCCCCCTTGTCCACATGTTTGTTCACCCCCTCAAAGAACACTAACAGGTTAGTGAGACAAGATCTTCCCTTACAGAAACCGTGCTGAGTCTGCCTCAATAGGTTTTGTTCATCTATGTGCCTACTAATTCTTTCCTTAATAATGGTTTCCACCAATTTACCCGGTATCGACGTCAGACTGACTGGCCTGTAATTTCCCGGATCTCCTCTGGAACCCTTTTTAAAGATGGGAGTGACATTAGCTACCTTCCAATCCTCAGGAATGGAGGCAGATTTTAAGGAAAGATTACATATCTTTGTCAGGAGATCTACAAGTTCACATTTGAGTTCTTTCAGAACTCTCGGATGTATGCCATCTGGGCCTGGTGATTTTTCAGTTTTTAAGTTGTCTATCAGTTTTAGGACCTCCTCTCTCGTCACCTCAATCTGACTCAGGTCTTCCAACACCCCTCCTGAAATCAGTGGTTCTGGAGTGGGCAAGCACTTCTCATCTTCCACAGTGAAGACGGAGGCAAAAAATGCATTTAGCTTCTCAGCCATTTCCCTATCATCCTTCAATACTCCTTTTACCCCTTGGTCGTCCAAGGGCCCCACTGCCTCCCTGGCTGGTTTCCTGTTTCTAATGTATTTGAAGAAAGTTTTATTGTTGGTTTTTACGTTTTTTGCTATATGCTCCTCATATTCCCTTTTTGCCTGCCTGACCTCAGACTTGCATTTTATTTGCCATAGCCTGTGTTCCGTTTTATCAGCCTCACTGTGACTAGCTTTCCACTGCTTAAAGGAATTCTTTTTACTTTTTACAGCCTCCATTACTCTGTTTGTTAACCATGCAGGCTTTTTCCTATACCTGTTTGTGCCTTTCCTAACCTGCGGAATATATATTTTTTGAGCTTCTAGGATCGTAGTTTTAAATAGATCCCAAGCTTCCCCAATTGTTTTGACCCTTTCTACTTTTCCTTTCAGTTTCCTCCCCACGTGTCCCCTCATATCAGAGAAATTACCCCTTTTAAAGTTAAAAATGGTTGTGTGAGTCTTTTTGGCCAATTCTCTATTTGTACAAATGATGAACTCAACAACATTATGATCACTGTTTCCAAGCGGTGCAATCACTTTTACATCTCTCACCAGGTCTTGAGTGTTACTTAGGACCAAATCAAGGATCGCCTCTCCCCTGGTAGGTTCCGTGACAATTCCCTATTTATACAAATGTTGAACTCAACAACATTATGATCACTGTTCCCAAGCGGTGCAATCACTTTTACATCTCTCACCAGGTCTTGAGTGTTACTTAGGACTAAATCAAGTCTCCCCTGGTAGGTTCCGTGACCATCTGCTCCATAGCACAGTCATTTAGAGTGTCTAGAAACTCACTCTCTTTTTCTTGGCTAAAACACATATTGACCCAATCAATGTGTAAGGTAAAGGTTAAGGTTCCCTTGCTCGAAAGCCAGTCGAGTCCGACTCTAGGGTTGCGGTGCTCATCTCCGTTTCAAAGCCGAAGAGCCAGCGCTGTCCGAAGACGTTTCCGTGGTCATGTGGCCGGCAGGACTAGACACCAAGGCGCACGGAACGCTGTTATCTTCCCACTGAAGTGGTACCTATTTATCTACTTGCAATTTCTTGCTTTCAAACTGCTAGGTTGGCAGGAGCTGGGGCCAGAGACGGGAGCTCACTCCATCATGCGGCACACTCGAGTCTTGAACTGCTGAACTACTGACCTTCCACAGCCTGCAGTTCAGCGTCTTAACCACTTGAGCCACCGCAGCTCCTAATCAATGTGTGGGTAGTTAACATTCCTCTGTACAGAGTTCTGGTGCGGCCTCATTTGGCATACTGTGTACAGTTCTGGCCACCATATCTCAAAGAGGACATTGCAGAGCTGGAAAAAGGACAGAGGAGGTCAACCAAGATGATGAGGGGGTTGGGGCACCTTCCCGATGAGGAAAGGCAGAAGAGTCTGGGACTTTTCAGTTTAGAAAAGAGACGGCTGAGGGGGAAGATGATAGAGGTTTACAGAATTATGCACGGGGTAGAGAGAATTGACAAAGAGACATTTTTCTCTTTCTCTCAAAATACTTGAGGGCATCCAATGAAGCTGATGGGCAGTAGGTTCAGGACAGACAAAAGGAAATACTCCTTTACACAGAGAGTGATTCAAATGTGGGATTCGCTGCCAGAGGATGTAGTGATGGCCACCGGGATAAACAGCTTTAAAAGGGGATGAGATAGATTCATGGAGGACAGGTCTATCAATGGCTACTAGCCATGGTGACTGAGGGGAACTTCCACATTCAGAGCCAGGAGGCGACATCAGGGGAAGGCCTCGGCCTCCATGCCCTGTTGTTGGCCTTCCAGAGGACCTGGTTGGCCACTGTGTGAGACAGGATGCTGGACTAGACAGACTATTGGTCTGATCCAGCAGGGCTCTTCTTATGTTCTTAATCTACTATACCAAAAGAGCATCTAAGAGAAGGAACACGTAGCATATGGCTTCTACTGCTAAGCTGCTGCTAGGAAATAAAAATAAGTTAAAAAAAAAAAAACAAACCCATCACAAAAGCAAGGCAAGTCAGCTCCCCTGATGATATGCAAGCCACAAGCACCGCAGATGAAAAACAGGAGTTTTCCTCCCACTCACCATATCTGCTGTTAAACAGAATTTGTACACATTCCCTCAGGGTGTTGATGTCTTCGGTTTCTTTGATGAAACTGTCCCATTTATCTAGCAGAAACAAAACAGGAAAAGATTCCATATGGCACTGCGACAGCGGACACCCCCCCCCCTTGCCCCACCTGCGCTCGATCCAACAGTTCCCAAGTGAGGATTCTTTTGTTGAAGGACGGAGTCTTCCTCCAATGGACAATTCTTCTGTGGACAGTCAACTACGGGGCCGGAGCCCACAGCTACGAGAAGGTTTCCGTGCTCAGCAATGGCTCTGCCAGTGACACTATTCAGTGTTGCTGCTGGCTCCCAGCCAGTACTCCCTCTAAGCTGAGTTAGTGTGAGCTAGCTCACAGGTTTTTAGCCTCCGGCTCACACATTTTTGTCTTCGCTCAGGAAGGGTGGCTCCAGAGCAAACTAATTTATGTAGCAGCCAAATCGCTCGCTCACAAGTTTAATGCCAGTAGCTCACAAAGTAGAATTCTTGCTCACAGGGCTCCACAGGTTAGAGGGAACAGTCCCAGCATCTTCATGAACTAGCCTTCCTCTCTCCACTTTTTTTGGGGGGTGGGGGTGGGGGGTTGTATGTGTGTGTGTCTGTGTGTGTGTGTGTACCCAGGCCTGGAAGTCATGGTTGACTTCTGGCGACCCCTAGTCAGGCTAGGACATTTCAGAGAGGTGGCTTGATGTTCTCTGCCTCTGCATCCCGGCCCTGGTATATCTTGGAGGTCGCCCTTCCAAATACTTGCCAGGGTCGGACCTGGTTAGCTTCTGAGATCTGACTTGATTGGACATGCCTGGGATATCCAGGTCAGGGCTCCCTCTCCACTTTTAACTTCAGAATTACCCTGTAGCTCTCAAAGATTATGGACAGAGATGAAGGCCAACTATATATTATGCAAAGAGATCTGATAACATATTATGCATGAGATCTTAAAGGTAAAGGTCTCCCTTGCTCGAAAGCCAGTCGAGTCCGACTCTAGGGTTGCGGTGCTCATCTCCGTTTCAAAGCCGAAGAGCCAGCGCTGTCCGAAGACGTTTCCGTGGTCATGTGGCCGGCATGACTAAACACCAAGGTGCACGGAACGCTGTTACCTTCCCACTGAAGTGGTACCTATTTATCTACTTGCAATTTCTTGCTTTCGAACTGCTAGGTTGGCAGGAGCTGGAACTAGAGACGGGAGCTCACTCCATCATGTGGCACACTCGGGTCTCGAACTGCTGAACTCCCGACCTTCCACAGCCTGCAGTTCAGCGTCTTAACCACTTGAGCCACCACAGCTCCTATGAGATCTTCCCGGTGTTAAAAAGTAACAGAAGAGCATCTCTGATTTGATTTGGGGAGTGGCCATAGCACTCCCACCCTCTCCACATGCTCTTTCTTTGCAAGAAATCTACCCCCCCTCCTTTAAGATACTCTTAGCCAGAGTAGGGGAAAGACAGACACATTGTGGATATCTGTCTCCTCACCACCACTGACACCAACATGGCTGATAGTGGCTTGGGAAAGAGCGGCTTGAGACTTCTCTTTGAGAACGAATGCAAGGGAAAGGGTTAAACCTCCCCTCTCCCAGAGCAGTAGCCCTGATTCAAATGCTCCACCCCTACCACACCCTGCCAGCAGCTTTTCAACTTTATAAAATAAACAGGGGAAGATCCAAACACACCTCACTTGTAATTTAACCCTGAGTTTCCTTTAAACTCCATGTTTGTTTTGTTAAAGGCTATTTAATATAGGATTTAAAAAACGGGCGCAGGCTGCCTGATGTGTACCTAGTTGACTGGTGTGTGGATTCTATCAGCTAAGCTTCAGAAGCAGACTGCGTTGTCAACTGCAGAGTTTTGTGGGGGTTTGTTTTTGGTTTTCTATATCTATTGTGTGTGTGTGTGTGTGTTTTTGTGTGCTTGCCTGGAAGTCATGGTTGACTTCTGGTGACTCCTACTGGGGGATTGGATGTTTTTTCAGAGAGGCGGCTTCATTAGCCTGCCTCTGCGTCCCACCTCTGATATTCCTTGGAGGTCTCCCTTCCAAGTACTTGCCAGGGTCGGCCCTGCTTAGCTTCCGCGATCTTATGAGATTGGGCTTGCCTGGGCTATCCAGGTCAGGGCTCAACTGCAGAGTTCTGGCTGGGTAAACTGCATGATGCTAAAGAACAAGCTCAGTTTTTGCAAACGGCAGTAGGGTAGAAGAAGAAGAGAAGAAGAGGTCGGATTTATACCCTGCCCTTCACTACCCAAAGGTGTCTCAGAGCGGCTTACAAACTCCTTTCCCTTCCCCTCCCCACAACAGGCACCCTGTGAGGCAGGTGGGGCTGAGAGAGCTCTGACACAAACTGCTCTTTTTCAAGAACAGCTCTGACAGGACTATGGCTTGCCCAAGGTCATCCAGCCAGGTGCAAGTGGAGGAGTGGGGAAATCAAACCCGGTTCTCCCAGATTAGAGTCCACGCACTTAACCACTACACCAAACTGGTAGGAAGGAATATGCAGGAAGGGTAGGGTAGGAAGGAATACACGGGACTTTCCAAAGTGCGACAGCAACGATTTGGGAACAAGGCGATGCCAGAAGAAAGGATTAAAGAAGGAGGACTGGTCTTGAGTGTATTTTGGTTGAGCAACTGTCAGCATGAGCAGATCACTCAAACCATGAGTCATGAGCCACAGACTCTCAGGTGGGCCAAGCAGCCCCTCCTGCCGGGTTCACAAGCCTCCCCGGAGCAGACATTTTGGGCTGCAGTTTGGAAGAACCTGCTGCCTCGAGAGCAAAGGTGCCAGCAGGAGAGGTCACTCCGTGGCGGAGAGGATCCCAACATGGCTCTGATCCTTGACTCGTTCCTCAGTATAGGACACCTCTGAATGCTTTGCTTGTGCTTCCTGTCCCCAGCTGTCTGGGTCTCTTGCCCATGGTCCTGACCTTAACAATGCCGAGATCCATACTTTGGCTCCTCTTCTTCCAGCCACGTGACTCTGTCACATGACTTTCCATTCACAACTCAGTGGGTCCCAGGTCCAGAGAGGTTGAAAACCACTGGAACAAGACGGATCAATGCTCTGACTCTGCATAAGGCAGATTCTTTCTGGAAGGGTTTCTGTAGAAGATCCCAGGTTCAATCCCTGACAGTTCTCACTAAAAGGTCTCATGGAGAAGATGTTGCAAAAGACCTTTCTCTGCCTGAGACTCCAGAGAGCCACGGCCGGCCTGAAAAGATGATACAGAGCAAGATGGACCAGTGGTTTGACTATGTATAAGGCAACTTTATACGTTCAAACGATGTAAGAATGGGGCATGTAAACATAATTTGGAGAAGCCACACAACTGAAATCCATACACTGCTAATTTCCTTGAGCTTTCCAGGGAGCCTGGTAGAACTTGAGAGATAGGTTCTCCTAGGTAAGTTATTATGTTTGCCGCAAGGGTTCCGACGGGACCCTAGAAAAATGCTGCTGTTTTAAGAGTTTTATACTCACAAAGAGAATTTATTGCGCCTTATGTCTTGTATGTATATCACTGTCCTTGACAAAGGTTGTATTCGATATGGGTAAATTACTAGAGTCCTGTGGGACTACTGATTGTGAAACTGACAAGGTGCTGTTTGAATGTTTGAACATAGTGTAAACCTGCACTTTGACGTGTTGTTCTGGTGAACGTATGTTTGGTAATACTTGACACTAATATTTACATAATAGTATAGAAAAAATAAAAATAAGAAGCCCAAAATAGATCTATGTTGAGCATACATCTATTATACACAGTGTCCTATATTTTTCCATATCTCCCTAAGACTGTGACCCTCAGTCGTTGTACATTCTCCCACCAATCAGCATAGCCATACCTGACTTGTCATGGACTATAGAGAAAAGGATGCGTTTGGAGGAATGCACGTTCTGGATGAGCGGACCACTGGAAAGAGCAGATTTCTGACTTGGACCTGATAAAGAAAGAAACGAAGCAAAATGAGAGAGAAATCGGAATGATAAAAACAAGGGAAAGA